GTACTTTCTCATGTGGCCAACAAACTCATTGCTCTTGTTAACCCTGAAGGCTCATCAGCTTATTCACAAAAGCGTATAATTTAACCTCCAGTGGTGCTGACTGAAAGCCAACCGTTCCTGCACCATTTAGATTAATGGAAAATACTTACAAAATTGATTGGTAACCGATGGAAGAGACCATTCTGGAAGATATGGGCATACACGTGATGATAATGTTAAGACGGATCTTGGGCAATACGGCGACGGCATGAGGCTGTGGACTGGATTCATCCGGTTGGTATTTTGACAAAAAGAAAGGCTGTTTTATCTTCCATATCGTTTATAAGTCATTGGTGAGGCAAAATCTGAGAGAACCAGCTGTAGGTAGCAGCACGATATTGCGGGTCAAAGACACGATAAAACCATGGAGTTGTTTTGCTCGCCACGTGTTGGTAGGTACAGTAAAGGAATTTCGCAAGCACACACGTGTACTCCCTCCCTCAACGCTCTACCTACGTCATTTTTTAAAGATGCGGAGTTTTCCAAGCAGATTTGTTTGGTTCTGCTCAATAATGGGAAGGAATGATTGGAAAAGGGGGGGGGGACTGTATTAGGAGATCCTCTTTCGGCCTTTCCACACACGATCTTTCACAACACGTGCTTTTAATTGCTGTAACGTAAGTGTTCCACTGGATTCACACTAAAATAGCAGCCCACACGTGTTGCATAAACATCTAAATTTAAAATGTCAATGTTAGCGGAGTAGCCGAAAAGTGGAATGTCAGTTAACTTGGCTTTACGTATAATTTTACCTGCCGTCTTATATGGATGTGAAATTTGGTCTCGCATTCTTTGTTCAGAAAGAACACACATTGAAGTAATAGGAAGGATTACGTTACAAAACGAGAAACTCTATACTTCGTACTCTTCTCCGCTGTGTCACTATCAGCTTTTCAGGAAGCTGCTTGAGAAACTATAAACATGGCTAGAAGTTCTGTCGAAATTCGAATGGGATGTCCCCTGAATAGTGCAAGTCTGATTTGTATCGTTACCGCTCTGTGTGTTGGTTCCCATTAGAGAGTTTTATTACCGTCTGGCACTTACATGATTGCCACCACCCTTGCAGTTACACTTCGGACTGACAGCCGTCTGTCACTTGCAGGTGGAGTTCTGCAATGGCGCCTACAGTGTACGTCTCGGACGTGGCCGGCAATCCCAGCAGAAGTCACCTGTATCCGGACACCTTGGATGACTTACTCGGTGAGTTCTTTATCATTTTATAACTCCGAGGCGACATGAAAATGTAGTCGTGTTGGATCGTACTCTGTGTTAGAAGAATTTATTCCAACATAAGGTCGGTCTAGCAGGCCATTTACTGGCCCAATGTCGTGTCCCGAAGAGTGATAGATGTTGAGTGAGCCGTGTTACCCACGAAGTTCGCCCACTTCATGGTTTTTAGGTAATGTACTTTAATTCGTCGTGTTGATTAATGTGTACCGGTACGTATTATATTATAAAAGATTACATGAGCGGAAAGGTTTACCCCAGTGTGGCGGTATATATGCTGTTTTGCATCCCACGAATTCTTGAGTAAAATTTAATACAAATACAAAAGCATTATTAAAGAGGCCGTCACCATTATATGCAGATACTTCCGTACATAAAGAGTAGTCTAATATATCCTGTTGATGACAAAGCTATTGAATTAAAAAATTATTACTCTGTATGCAGGTCTGAATATATTCTTATATTATCTATTGAAAATGGTTTAATATATGTAATTTTGTTTTGTGAATTAATTGTTCACGCGTTTCTAAGGTTCAATATGAGTGTTTCTTTACAGTTTTCATTGGATTTGTAAGGTCTTTAATGAAATTCGGCTTTTGCCTTTTAGTACAGACCACTGGTGGTACTACGTTTTAACGAAGTCTGTTAAGCAGTTTTGCAGATAAAGACGCGGACTGACGGAGAAACAGACAAAGAAGCACTTCGTGCAAAGACAAAATTAATTATTCTTCAGAAAGTTTTGCATATTATAATTTACATAAGAAGGCAGCTAATATAACACTGTAGTGTACGTACATTTATACTAAACTTCATTGAACACAGTTTTTGAGAAGCTGATAGTCGCTCAGCTGGAAGTAACACATTTACAAGAGCCCCCAACTGCACACCTGAGCCAGTTGAATCCGGTACACATAATTACACCCCGTTTCTTCAAGTACAATTTAATATAATAGCTCGCCCCCCATTACATCCGGACCAACGTCTAACCACTGATATCAGCAGTGTAAATTCCATTAAGAATATAGTTTGAATAACTATAGCGTCTGGTCCCGTAGTTCACATTGCAATGCAGAAAGGAAACAAGGGCGTCATGTACAAGTTTCATAGACAATTTGACACACGCGCCCTCGTTAGATTCACTAGGAGAAAGAGATATGAATTTCTGTCCTACTTACCTTGTTTCGGAATTGCCTTCAAAACTGTTATGTGCGTAGCAAAAAATCTGGAGGAAAAAAAAAGAAAATAAAGAATTATGGATGGTCATAAACAACAAATTCGAAAGTTGTGGAAAAAATTGCTTAGTATCGATATCGGTCTGTCGTTGCTAACCATAATATTGTATATAAGATTTGAGGTTTTCACATCGGTGAATATGAAGATTTCTGTCTCCTGGGTTGTTGCGCTGTGTAGTCTGGTCGATGTTAACCAACGTTTCAGAGGTCATACTGCCTCCGTCATCAGGGCGATGAATCGACCATACTACACAGCGCAACAACCCAGAAGACAGAAATCTTCATAATATCGTAAACTTTTTTTGTATACTAGGGAAACAGGAGTTTGTTTCCAAGACGATGTGAAGATCTCACTTCTTACGCTAAGGTTACGTTAACAATGGAATAAAGTTGTCAGAACAAGCCTTAATAATCAATTATGGAGTACAGAGGTGAAACTGGCAGGGGTTGCAGGCGGTGAAACACACCGCGGCCCTATTCGGATGCCAAGCTAAATGAACAATTTATGCTTTTAGTTGGGAGAAGTCATTTACGCCATTTGCACTACAATCATTTCATACTCATAATTGTAATATACTTCTCAGGATATGTTTACTGACGACTTTTGTGTGGTCACTGGTCACCTTTCGATATTTATCGATCGACCTGCAAGTTGGACGAGGCGTCCGTCGCCATCTTACTCAAACACAGAAATACGTTAGTGCTTAGTGGCGGGTACTGATGTAGACATAACAGTGCATTATTTCTCAGTGCAATAGATGAAACTGTCTGCACCGAAGCATGAACGCAGTTAGTAAAACAGAAAAGCAAAAGACAAGGTGACAAAGATACTTTGAAAGGTAGGAAAACTGAGCATTTTAAGCGTGATGTAGTTAAAAGTGAAAAAGTGGGATGTTAAAATAATGATGACGGCGAGGATAGAAGCAGAGGACCAGGTTGTTCAAGCAGTGCTGATGGTGTAGATAAAACTAAACAAATGGGTTGTTCGTGCAGTAATGTTGGTGTAAATAAAAGTGAAGGAACAGGCTGTACAAGGAACGATGCCAGTGTAGATAAAAGTAAAAAAACACTGTCTGTCACCGCATTTCCCCCACATTAATTACAATCTAAGGAAAATTATACATCAGAGGCAGAGCACAATGACACTTCATGTCCCAGTAATTGCATGCCCTGTTCTTCGGTGCAGTCGCCACACGCGCACAAAACACTGCACAAAGGGCAATCCAGCGGCCTACTGCCATCCCTAGTGCCTGCATTTACATCATATACATACACCAGCAGCCTGTGTCATGGCGATACATTTTATGTCATATGATAGGGTCCACTCGACGATCTAGTTTAATACGTCTCCCTATTATCTGCTCTTCAAAGATTAAGGACAAGGGGTATGCAATAACTGACAAGCATAGTTTGAATCATGTTTGCAAACTTCCACAGACCAACCTCTATTAAATCACCGAAGCACAAACCCGTCTAAATAATATTTAAAAATTCAGTCCTTACCGCAAAGAAAACGCCTTACTTCACCATAACAATGATCAACTTGTTCATGATGTTTAATGAAATAATATCTGTTTACACTGAGAATCATACGAAATCCACAAATTCACAGTGAAGAGTTACTCAGTGCTCAAGCAGGTGGGACATATAGTTACCATTGGGCTCTGAAAGGTTTATTGAATGTGGCGAATGAACTCGTTCGTTTAATAGTTTGGTCACAACCAACAGTGATGGAAAATGAATAGTGCAATTAGAGTTACGTCATCATTTGCAGTGGCTGGTGAGTGGCACGTGACTGTCGACGTGACTTGTCAGTCACATGGCGTAGCACCTCACGTGTAAGGACACGGGGCTTGACTCCTGGTGTCTGTGCGTCGATAGGTTCCTTTCGACAAATTATGCACTTCTTATTCCAGCGAATCCACTTGCCTCTCCTTGAACATCCACTGATTCAGTTCACAAGTCACGTGTATACGAGACCTGCACTGTGCACTGACACTCTCTGGGATGTTTTCACAGAGTTTAAAACCGAGCTATGATTACCTGTCTGGTAACATTTCTCATGCATTCAACGTCAATACTAAAGTAAATTCATGATTGAAGATTTGTCTTCTGGGTTGTTGCGCTGTGTAATCTGGTCGATGTTTACCAACGACCTACGTTTCAGAGACGTTTCGCCCTGATGACGGAGTCAGTATGACCTCTGAAACGTTGGTAAACATCGACCAGACTACACAGCGCAACGACCCAGAAGACAGAAATCTTCATACTCATCGCCCTGATGATGGAGGCAGTATGACCTCTGAAACCTTGGTAAACATCGACCAGACTACACAGCGCAACGACCCAGAAGACAGAAATCTTCATACTCATCGCCCTGATGATGGAGGCAGTATGACCTCTGAAACCTTGGTAAACATCGACCAGACTACACAGCGCAACGACCCAGAAGACAGAAATCTTCATACTCATCGCCCTGATGATGGAGGCAGTATGACCTCTGAAACCTTGGTAAACATCGACCAGACTACACAGCGCAACGACCCAGAAGACAGAAATCTTCATACTCATCGCCCTGATGATGGAGGCAGTATGACCTCTGAAACCTTGGTAAACATCGACCAGACTACACAGCGCAACGACCCAGAAGACAGAAATCTTCATACTCATCGCCCTGATGATGGAGGCAGTATGACCTCTGAAACCTTGGTAAACATCGACCAGACTACACAGCGCAACGACCCAGAAGACAGAAATCTTCATACTCATCGCCCTGATGATGGAGGCAGTATGACCTCTGAAACCTTGGTAAACATCGACCAGACTACACAGCGCAACGACCCAGAAGACAGAAATCTTCATACTCATCGCCCTGATGATGGAGGCAGTATGACCTCTGAAACCTTGGTAAACATCGACCAGACTACACAGCGCAACGACCCAGAAGACAGAAATCTTCATACTCACCGCTGCGAAAACCTCAAATCTTACAAATTCATGATTCTTACGTCGGAGTTTCGTTATTAAACGTCTCCGTTCTGAAGGCTCCGGAACCTGTCTGCCACGCTTTTGTTGATATGCTGTCACAAGTTTTTATGTGAAAGTTTAATAAGCGCGTCTGTGATACACACTTTTATCTCATCTACACTCCGCGGGTCTGCATTGTGTGCTTGGTCTTTGTTTCGCGCATGGAAAGGTCCGTATGCATACAGCCCAGTGACCATGGCTGCATATACGGCCTATTCGTCACGGCTGTGTAACTGCATTTATGCCACTCTGTATAATGTGATGAGCCATTACGCAAGCTTGTTATGGGAACCATTGTAAATTGTCGTGGTACTCCATGGTTCCTCGGAACGGTCGGAAATCACTGTTTTTCTGACTCCATGAAGCAGAGTCCTTGAGAAGCTGATAGTGACTCAACTTCCAAAATAATTGTCGGAAACAACACAATATAATAAAAATACCGACAGCCTCTTTCACGTGTGCGTGACATCATCACATAGGCTTACAGAAAAATATCTCCAGTAAATTTACGCCATGTTTGTTGTTTACTCGTAGAAGATATATGTGGTAAAACAAATGGAGCTCTTCTCGGGAAAACCTGTGCTAAAGTTTTGTTTTTCCGTCTTTAATTAACTCTACGATCAAATTTACTCACCATATATTATAAATAATTTATGTGCGGGTACTTATTACGTCCTTTATTTAAATGGGACTGTGGTTACCCGTATGAAGCAA